TGGTCAGCAACCGGCCAGCAGGCTAATTAACGACGAATGCCAGCGAAAGTAAACCATACGTGAGTGACAGTGATGAATGGCAACAGTGTTACGATAAGTCCTGCTCATATGTTTGACCGGTGCTGAAATAAATCTCTCGCGTCTGCGAACATCCGTCAAGCAACGCTATTGCCGGGCCGGCCGGTCGGCCGGTCGGCCCACTCGCTCAGGATCATGGCCAGAAGACGGTATGGCCGCGAAGCGACCAGAAACCAATCGCTCTTATGGTCGTGGTAGTGGGTCAGTCTGTCCAGTTCGGTCCGGGGCGACGCGCGTTCATTTCACCGTTCACCGCACAGATGTTAATCGCTTTTTAATGATCGTCGACGTTAACAAGAAATTTGCCGTTTTTCCGATGTTATGGCCCAAATGATTCTTCTTTCAGACTGGTAGTATTTTACACTTTTTGTCACTTAATGACCTTTAATGACACGGTTGACACGGAAAACAGTCGTTCATTGTATAGGCGAAAACACTGAGGCGGTACAGTGCCTAACAAATGCATAACGAAACGCAAACACGCGCTGTCCTCTTCTCGTAAGCACTGTCACCACCGCCATGGTTCACTCGCTGCACGTGCAAAGGTCGTTTCTCGGCTGACCGACCGCCTGACAACGTCAAGCCGGATTACGGTCGTACAACCACCCCCTACTGTTAATATCTCATTTGCATATGGAAGACGGTTGAGCTTCGATGGGCATATATTATCGCAAGCTACGTAGTTCAATATTTCCGCAAGCCCTATTCGAACAGTTTGCACACGGTTTAAATGCCAGGGAAAAGAAGAACTGCTCAATGTACTCTTCGTAGTGGGGGAACACGACTGCTACTTGGTGGAAACGCGAGTAGCGAAGTACAGGTTCTATCTGTGATCGGCATTGCTCGGTAAATCTATGCAGAAGCAAGATGCGACATATAACAGCGAATACGAAAGTGTGAGAAGGTCGGCCGAGCCTGTCAACTCTTAAAAACTTTGTTTTTTCTTTCTTTGAATGCCAGGAAAGTATGCCACAACACTCTGAGACGCAGGCATTGTAGGACTCTGCCAGGTTACAAATTCCCTCCGATGAATTACTGAAGAAGCCCCAGAGTGTTCGCATGCAGCTCAGGGAGACTGAACTCCAACGGTCGTGCTTCAGCCAGCTTCGAATTTCAACAACTTCATCATATTGAGTTTTTTAGCCGATCAAGCTACGGCATTTCGGCCGATGTTATTGTGGTATTGTAACGTACGCCCCGTTAACAAAACAAATCTGCGAAAGTCGTTTGCTATTGTTGCTGTACGTAGGACTACGCGAGCGTTGGTAAGGCTTGGAATGCGGCTGTACCTGCATTCTTAAATGAAGCGTGGTTTGTGACGTTCAGGAGAATTCGAGGTACGGCTAAGTCTTTCGTTGATGTTTAAATCGCAATACAACGTGGTGGTGCCGTTCTCGTCCGAAGATCGTCAGATAGGACGGTAGACCTTGTTCTGCGGATCTCGGTATCATTCATGTTCCACAAGGAGGTCTGACGTATTCCTTCATAGAGTACTAGGGCTGATCGCACTCCATTTCACAGATACCTCAACGGAAGTGCTCGAGCTTCGTCCTTTCTCAGCCAGGGCATTTGATGCACTGCGACTGAGTTGCGCGCAGTGATGTGTTACGTTTAATTTTTGGACAGGAAGAGGCAGGAAGTAATCGAGAGCTTCGAAAATGACAGTGCCATGCCTTCGATCGCTGAAGGTCAACATTACATTTCAGATATGCTTAGAAACCGATCGACGGGGAAATGAGGTGACCGACTGGTCAGCTTGAGCTGTACGCTTTGGAGGTCAACGACATTGAGTCGAACGGTCGGTCATCGCTAGCCTTCGGCGCTGAACGAATTCGTTTGTTGACCATTGCTGTCGTCGAGAGATAAAGATCCGCCCCGATTGACGGCCGTCCCTTATCGACTCTGCTTGTAGCGTTTAACAGAAGTGTACACTAACCGACGAGACGACGACGACGATGATGGTTATGATGGCAATGTCATCAGCAGATAGAAGCAGAACAGTGACAACAGGTCAGGGAACAGAAGGAAGGATCGATGACCGGTAGGTGGGTGATCTTGCCTGAGGCCTGACCGACGACGAGTAAAGACCCGCGACGCGGCGAAGTTTAAAACGCTTCGTGTCGCCGTCGCCGTCGCCGTCGACCGAAGAGTTGGCTTTTTGGCCGTTGTTGACTCAGTGTGATGGTCGGTCGGTCGGCAGATAAAGCACTGAAGAAGGCAGGAGCCAGTCATCGTCGCCGAGACCGCTGCTGTGTT